GCTCCGAAATTCTTTCTATAGCAACATAGTTTTATTTCAAAGTTTACAATTAGGTTCACTAAATTATTAAATCCAATATCTATCAGTTCATTTGTATTGGTTATGTGAATATTCGCGCTTATGTTTAAGACTACAAATATTCGATCTCTTTTGGCATCATACGCTAATCCTCTCAATATCGCTGTCAAGTCACATGTGTCGTTGGAATTGTTAGACAGTGTCTAGCAGAGAAACCCAGGACTGGAGTTTTGTCCTATTTGCGACTGGTCAGCTGGATGTGCTTGTATCCCAGAGCTGATATCCACTCTGTTATATTCCAAATGAATAAAAAGGTAACTAGTTATAAATTAAAACTTTATGCTCCGTTTTGTAGGTATTGCTAGCTGGTTTTATTTACAGACTTATATGTACTGACTAAAACTATTTAGCAAATAAATAACTATAACTCCAAACGACAAATTTCTACAGTAATTCTCCACTACTCTTTAACACTAAACAGATCAGGCTACTTACAAATACTTTATTTTCTTCACTCTTTCCTAAATCATTACAACATAAGTAGATAAGCTATTCATTGAAAATACTACAAACTTATTTTATATAAAACTGTAATTTAAACCCTCCATTTAAAAGGTAAGTTAATAATCATACATGTATCGTCCTTAGTATCTTTAAACGATCGAATAGAACACTACTATTTTTTTCATTACACAATATGTAACATACTCTTAAAATTAATTCCCTTATGTGATCAAAATCAAGTAAAACGTTACTTGTCATGTTTATTTTAACGGATAATTTCATCAGAAGGTGTTTTGTGGATATTATAGTAATTTTGATAGTTGAGATAATGGGTCACTCGAAGCTAAACCACCATGAAAAACCTGGAAACACTGGATGGCCGTTTCGTTCTAGTATGAGACCCCACAGCAGTGTGCATCAACTATCCCGCCTCGCAAGATTCCAACCCAGGACCAATCAGTCTCGCGTACCAGCGCTTGATCACTAGACCCTTGAGCTGATCGGACTCCAACGGTGTTAATGTCTAACTTCAACTAATCCACGAAATTGAGCGATACACTCACCATTCTTTTCAGTGAGTTACTATCTCTCAATAATAATTTTATAATATGTATAATTTCTACAGTTCACAAAATGTTTAGGTACACTATCTGCAGAACTATCAGTTAAGAATAATATATATCGTTTGTTTTATTATAGTTGCTTAGAAACATTCAAAAGAGTATAGAAACGGAAGTTTAAAAAAATCTGAAATATTTCAAAAAAGATTTAATAATTGAATAAGGAAACATTATTCTGTTTTAATCTTAAACCTTCTATCGAAAGATGATTATTGTCAAGTGGAAAATCCTCACAAATCGCTATGTAACAATTTTACATATATATTTTTGTTAGAGTTAATATATCAAATTACTCATATTATTTTCAAACAGACTTCTATCTGAAGTTTGTGCTGATGATGTCGTTCAAAAGAACGATGAAAGCTCCACGACCAAACCATCCAGCTCAGATAACAAAACACCACCAAAATCATCCACCTGAGCTACAAATCTCCACCATCTCAAGATTATAATTTAAGCATATTGATGTTTCGATGCTTAAAACTCAATAGACATCGTGGTGTGTGCTACTTATATTGACATAAGTAGTAGATGATGTTAGTCGTGAACAGAAGGTCTCGAAGCAGAGAGACAAGAGGATTGAACAGTAAGAAATGGAAACAAAATACAATTTGTATGAAGATGAAAAGACAATGAAGTCTGAGTTATTTTGAAACAATCGGTGGACATTTTGCAAATTAGGCATTTACTTTATGATTGTTAGATTTTATTAACAAGTCATGTAATTTTGTGTTAAATACATTCGATTGTCCCCACACGTGTTCTTGTTCACTACAATATGACTGATGAAACTATCTAATACAATGTAAGAGCAATATAGTACAGTTTTATGTAACAATAATCATTTAACTGAAAATCGGTTAAGTCAACTATGATTAGGACTAATGCGCTTCACTATTAGAAACTTTGTATATCAGTCAGTCAGTAACTTCGTACCTACGTACGTACACCAGTTTAAGTTACCATACCACATTAGCACAGAAATACAATTGTCTACTTAAATCCTATAATGGTCAAGGTGGTAAAAGTATAAGGAGTATTCGGAAAGATTAGAGTTTGAAGATGTTATTCAAGGAGTATAATCTAGTGAAATAAGTTTGGAAAGAGAAAAAAAGGGACATGAAGAGTTCAGAAGATTAGAACTTGGGAGAACACAAAGATTGGATGCACCTGCGCCATTGCGAATGATATATATATATATATATATATATATATATATATATATATATATATATATATTCTGATATTCAGATTTATCCAAATGTTGGTGCATCCGTGTTTCAAAGACAACTTACGTTTGTCATAATATCAGGATTTAAAATAGATTGATTAAGATTGCGAATTGCTTTTTAATCTTATACATAGTCATTTAGACATTAGTTATTCGGACAGAATAGATTCGTAAATATTTTGGCTGGTAGTAGTAGTTAAAAAACAGCTTATATGGAACAAATTTTCAATCAAATTCCTGTGGTGTTTTTTTACATATATCTTACCATTGTTAGTTAGGACTGCAACTGATCAGTCTGATGTTGGCATATGTGCATCCTGTGCAGACTGCCTCGATATAGCCTAAGTCACAAGCATTTTCAAGCAAACATGGATCCAGCTGGCGAGTCCTAAATAGGACGAAACGCGCGTCCTGGATTCCACTGCTAACCACTATCTATCTTTGCTTAAGACGTTTACAATCAGATCAGAATATTACATAATATACTGCAGAATATTAACTGCATATAATTATTTCTATTATTTTACGACTCGTCATCAAACTAAGCATCGATATCAAAGAAATTGTGTACATATTTTGTCTGTAGAGACTAATGATCACAAATAGGAAGTTAGCCTGCTCTGTTTGTAATCGTCAGACTTACTTGTAGGTTTATTACGTGTTTCAATGGTATTTTGTATAACATTTACTTTTTGGTGTATTATGGATTAAAAATTAAATATTGTAAACTCTCGTACTTACCATGATTTGGTAGTTAGTGGCTAGTGCGCTGACCTTTGGAAACACAAGTACTGAGTTTTAGTCTCAATATAAACACTAATACTGTTATGCGCATAAATTAAGATGACGAATCTCGAATAGGAAGAAACATTCATTCTGGATCACTGTCCATAATCTAAAATGCACTAAAACGTATCACAAAATAGTGTATCCATCTATATTAAGATGTTTATTTGTTCAAGTTTAAAATCCCACCAACAGAAAATTGCGAACCTATATCAACACATTTTTTTATTTTAAAATCTGTTGAAGAGTTTTGAAGAAAAATAACATTTATAATGATTGACTTTTTAAAAACGCTTATATACACGACTGATAATGTCAAATTTAACACGTTGTGACTTTAAAAATAAACGAATGTGACAGAAAAATAAGTCGTTTATTCAAGTCGTTTGTTTACAACGTTTGTTGTTTTTGTTTGGTATCTTTCTAAAATGTTCATTCTATATTTTGTACAAACATCTAAATGCATATCTACTCAATCTTTGCTTGTGTTAGCATGAACAACAATTTTTCATGAAATAATTTTAATTATAATCCGTAATGACTTATGGCCTGTTAACTATCACCAATCAGAACACGACTTATACAATATTAGTACTGTGCCAAACCAATGACACGTTGACCTGTACATGAAGCCTAGAGTCCTTATTATTTCATCACGTCTAGCACTGTCTGTTGAGTCTGAAACACCAATATCTACTTCCACTATATGAATCATATATTTCAGATATACTTGGTTTATATGCAAATAAAGCAGACTGCATCGCACCATAGAATAGAAAATAACGATTGTACAAGAGCAAGCTAAAAAGTGGCGGTGATTGTGAGGGACTGTAGCGAATAAATTAGAAATAACTTAAGAAGAGTATGTCGTAAAATAGCAGTCGATAAATTAAATGAAAGCTTGTAATAAAGGGTATATATATATATATATATATATATATATATATATATATATATATATAATCTCATTACTTAACAGTTACAGAATAAGAATGTATATCACAACGGTCCACAAATAGTTCCTAGCAGTTGCCCTTCATTTATTCTTCGTTCGGATATAACATATTCTATGTTAATTCTTCAGTCTAAATTACCTAACAGTAAACATCTTTAAATAAAGTCTATTCTGTAGACGCACTTTTTGAAAACCTTGCATTCTTCACCATGTTTTGAAAACTTAGTTCGTAGTAAAAATTGATCTATACTATGTTTCTATTAGAAGAGATACCAAAATCAAATAAATACTAGATGTCAAACAATTACTACTTTTAATATGATATGAATAGAATCTGAAAGATTTCGTCAATGACTTTAAAGATTCACTATTTCTCTCATTTATCACCAACCTATTTTTCATCAAAACAGACCACATTCATAAACGAAAAATTATAGTAACTTAGTAGTTGAAGTCATGAATCAATTGAAGCTAGACAGCCATGGACAACCTGGAAATACTGAATGGCCGTTTCATCATAGTATGGGACTCCTCATCAGTGTGGATCCATCCATCCCGTCTCGCAAGATTTGAATACAGGACTTATCAGTTTCGTGCGCGAGCGCTTAAGCATTAAACCATTCAGCTGGCATCGAACGATATTAATGTCTAACTTCAACCAATCCACAAAAAATAATTATAATTCACATACAATAAATTCACTTTATAAAGAAAGAAAAAAATAAATAAATGAAAAAGTGTACCAATTTGCATAAGATAAATGAAACTAATATTTACCAATGAAATTTCTTATTAATATTTATTATAACACTGGTTAAAATTTAACCAATCAAATGTGAGTTATAGTTTTCAACCATTCATAAATATCATTATTAAAAAAATAATTAATTCACCTTCAATTATTCATCATTGATTCTTATTTATTATTGTAATTTTCAATTTATATCATTAATAAATAAACAAACAATGAAAATCTTAAACTGAATTAATTAATTTTATATTTAAAACAAAAACAAAAACAAAATGTATAAATAAATGTATATGGATATAATAGTAAACTTTTTAAATGCAAAAGACATATCTTATGGAAATAACTATGATAATTTTGATCAAATTTACTTCTGCCGAATTAAAAGATCATATAATACTTTGGGATGCAAGTAATTGGAGGTAAGTTAAAATAGTTTTATTCATCTAAATATTTATATATATACATCTAGAGATAAATAGATAGATTATAGAATATAATCTTTACGAGACTGAAAGCCCTGGGTTCGAATCTCGCGAGCTGGATCGTGGATGCGCACTGCTGAGGAGTCCCACAATGGGATAAAACGGCCTTTCAGTGCTTCCAGGTTTTCAATAGTGGTCTAACATCAATCGGTTCATGATCTCAATCGAAAAACTTAACAGTCTCCACAACCCCTAAACTGATATATTGATTGTAAAGAAAACTATGAAACTGAGTAGCGATGAAAGTTGTTTTTTAATTCATAATACAAAATAGCAGTTACTTACTTACTTACGTTTATTACTCCCAATGGAGCATAGGCAGTAGTCCAGTTTATTTGTTACACCCAAGAAATCCATTTTTGTAATCATTTTGTTGCATTTTAATAAACATTAAGAGATATTTTACATAATAAGAATCATAAGACAGAAAAAACAGTAAAATTAAATGTTTTATATCTCGTTTCAAGTTAAGTTATTGTTAGTAATTACTATTCTCATTCATTTCCTGCATCCTTCTGAAATTGTAAAATCAACTTTTTTTCTTTAGATTTAAAGTATATGTGAAGGTATTTTTGTCATATGTTGGTATTATTTGAGATAATATTGATGGTAAGCGACCAACTAGAAGGCCTGGTGTCCTAGTTTTAAATTTCTTAATAGCATCCACTCTACAGAGACGAATGGAAGAATTTTATGATTCCATGAGGACATCATTAGCTCGAAACCAATGAATTTATTTCCAGAACACTGAATGAATGAGTTTCGATAATTTTGCTCAAGTTACCTTATAATAACAAATTATATTTAAATGAAGCGTTATCCAGTGACAGTCATTTGTTGATAATTTTCATTCTGAGAGTTGATTAATTCATGTAAAATATTTTAAAGTTACTGCATAATATTCATGTGTGAGCATATTTTAAATATTATGCTACTGTAATTTAATAAGAACTAAAGCTGTAAGCACGGTCGATTTAATCACTCCAGTAGCATAGTGCCAAAATAACTCATTTAAATACGAAATAAATAAGAATGGTACAAACAATCATTTATTCTGGAGTTTAATACCCAAACTGATGCAACCACAAATATACAATAGTTAAAATAATAGTCCATGTTTTTAACAATTGAATTTATGAGTCGATCTAAGCTAGACCATCATTGAAAAATTCGTGATCTAACTTGGATCAATTCATGAATACAACTGTTAAAATTACTGCAATCTTCACAAATCCCCATTCTGATAATTCGTCATTTGTTTTCTGATAATAGTGGTGTCAAAGGATTAAAAAATCAGTTGAGGAAATGGCTATCAAAACGTGATAAAATAGATTGAAATTAAATTCATGTTAGAAATGGAATGCAAACAACAACTATATTATTAAATGAGGGAAGAAGGTGACAGAAGATAGTACGTGAAATCTAGAGTTAATAATCATTGTTAAAGAATCAATTTTATACATTCCATTAGTTTATATTCCGGGCACTTTTAGATGTACAGCAAATAAAATAAAAACATACTAAAATGATCAGACTCATGACTATGTCCTTTAGAAATATTGATAAGCATAGTAGGAATGAATTACATAACCTCGAATTTAATGTAAATAATATTCTTGTTACGGACTTGGAAATCTTCCTTCTTTAGGCTATCTGCTAAGATCCAAAATCTAAAACAAATGAAATTAACGGAAATATATTTTAATAGAAAGATAAGTATTTATCGGTATATATACTACTGCGTCAGCTAAAAATTAATATGAATCATGTATAAACATTGCAAATAACTGAATTTCAATTGTTCTCCCTTAATCAAAGCTGTTTAAGATACGCAGGTGTACGGAAGTTTATCACGATTTTCTTTATTAATATACTAGTAATTATAATTTCTACAATCAAATCAACTTTACTTATTTACGTTTATGCAAATTACTTTGGTTCACTTTGAAATGTAAGAGACGAAGAATTCGTCTTTCTTAATATGACACTTCAGTATTTTCATGAATTACATTACACTATTACGCATACAATGATTACCCTTACTGAGAAAAGCAAAGAAACTACAGCAAAAGAATACTAAACGGTTTTTATTTCTTTAGAGATCATTTTTTATGCTCAGTGAACAAAATGTTATTCAGACAGTAGATTTATAAACTGTTTAGAAGAGGGAAAAAAGGAATTCAAAAATAATCAATCAACGAAACATAAAGATGTGTATAAAAATACGACGATGAACACAAAATTGTCAGACTGAAACACAAAATGTGTATTAAGGTCAAACATATATATATATATATCTTATCAGAAGGAGTTTTGTGGAGTTATCATTAATTTTGTAGTTTAATTCATGAGTCGATTGAAGCCAGACCACCATGGAAAACCTGGAAGCACTGGACGGCCGTTTTGTTCTAGCTTCAATTGACTCATAAATTCAACTATTAAGTCACTGAAATCTTTACAAAACACCTAGCTTCAAGAGGTATCTTCTTGAGTTCTACGGAGAAGCAATGACCAGTGGAGTTCAACCAGGTATGTTGTGAGATAGTAAATCGCTGGTGACAATGGTGAACGGTGACTCAATCTCGTGGATTAGTTGAAGTTAGACATTAACACCGTTGGATGCCAGCTCAAAGGTTTAGAGGTTAAGCGTTCGAGCGCAAGACCAATAGGTCCTGGGTTCGAACCTCTCAAGGCAGGATCGTGGATGCGCACTGCTAAGAAGATCCACAATAGGAAGAAACGGCCATCCAGTGGTTTCAGGTTCTCCATGGTGGTCTAACTTCAATTATTATTATTATTAATGGCTTTATTCAATATTATATTTTGGTACAATATAGAATTCTCATGAATTCAAATATATGTATATCCTCATTAATTTCAAGTAGTTTTCAATGTTTCAAACTGTATGTTTCAAATATATGCAGGAACTGAAATGTGATATTCGTTCACGAATGTTTAAAAATAAAAAAAACTAAATATTTTATAAATTATTTTCACATGATGAAAGTAATTTATATTCACTAAATTCAAAGAAGAAATGTTACAGCATTCTTTTTCGTATTACGCAATACACAATTATTATTCACCGATATCGTCAATTTCTCATGGAGATTTAAATACATCAAAATGTACAAATATTAGCAATTACTAGATTTAATTTATGTCCAAAAAATTCTAAAGTATTTACCCTAGTTACTGCGAATGTAAACTTCAATAATCACCATGTAACTAAACAATTGTTACATACAAGAGCTAATCCAAAATGTCATCGAATTAAAACAAAAAAATTTCTATTATACTGATAAATAAATGTCATGCCGATTTGTTTTACTGATAAGAGAAATGAAGAATCGTTGATGGTTTATTCATTCATGAGATTTTTTTAATAATTTGACTGAATTAATAAATGAAGTAACCGACCATCACTCAGTCATCTTCAGTTGATAGAACTTTTACTTTATGTTTATGAAGTCTCGACAAAATTTCGTTTTATGTATTTTATTCTTTCCTAAGCGTACATTAACTGTATTGAGATCCTGTATTTATAACTGATTATATTATTTTTCTGCAGCGTATTGTCACCAGGCGATTCAGTGACTTGAATGAGGGCAGAAACTGAAGCCTTTGATGAATTAGTCAACGATCTATGTATCGTATGTCGCATAAAACATTCGGCGAGACTCTAATTTAGGGACGACTTTTGAACGAATCCTAAATGACCTTGACAATTATTAGCCAATCAGAAGACAGTTAGTATAAGGTGGAAATATATTATAAGAAAGTAATGATTTACAGTTCATATTCTTCTTTTACATGATTTAAAATCTTGTTAAGGTTTGATAAAGGTTCAGAGGTTCTGAATTCATAATGCACATTGAGAAGCTGTAGTTAAAATGCGATAGAACAGCCTCATATATGTCAGCTATATTTTACGAACTAAAGACTGTTGAGATAAAAGGATCGTTAAAGTTAAAATGTTTTGTATATAGTAGGTATATACAAAATATATACAAAATCAGTGTCAAATGTTCTGTTCAACGTGGAAAGTAGACAACCATGTCCTTTGATAGTAAAGCACATAATTGAAATGGAGCGCAGAGTTGACAGCAATACAGCCTCCAAAACGTTGAATATAGAGATTATCAAGAATGAATTCTTAGGTTTACAAAAACCCTGGCTATTCATATATCTGAACCCTCCTTATATGTATTAAAATAATTTGTTGTAACCTTGAATTTTCCCTGGTAATCTTTAAGTCATTTTACAGCCTAGGGTGATGCGATAATTTACTGTTCTTTTCATATAATGTTAATTTTATCTCTACTTTATTTACAATTATTACTTCGTTTACTTGGATCTTCATTTAATTGACATTTACTAATTTCACATAAAATGCCTTGATAAGTATATATGTAACTAAGATGTTTGAAATATATAGCGCAAATCTACGGAAACGGGAATACTGTTAAATCTGGATATATTCTAGCCAAAAAGATTCCTTTTAATAAAACCGTCCATCCTTCTCGAAAAGAGGACATCGAGGGAAGCTATAATCTTATCACGTTTCACTTCACTAGTGAATTCAATCACTAAATGAACTTTTTGACGATGTTTAATGGCTTTGTTTACTGATACAATTGACAAACAATTGGTTTGTCATTTACATTTCTAAAGTAGTATTCTAGTTTATTCCATATTTCATGTAATGGTCTGTTATGTAGTATGGCTGATAAAAATATTGTCTAAGACGGAAAGATCTACGTACATTTCAGGTGAAATCAGACGTGTGTTATTTTAGAAATTTTAACCCTGTCGTTAGTTGTGGCCGTTTGGTGATTATTATTGCTCGTCAGATATAATCTTATAAATAGCTTCTAAATGTATTTTAGTCAATATACATTTTATGTGATGCTCAGAGCTTTCCCGTTGATTACAGCAGTCAATCGGAATGCTCTTAAAACTTTCTAGTTCGACCTCTGTTGTAGTTTCGAAGTGGTATATATAGATAAATAGGTTTCCGAATTGGACATCAGCATAACCACGCTTACCGTAAAATATTAAACCTGGTGATAAAACCTTTCTTTCCTTCTATAGTCTAATAGCATTCGACGTAGAGTTTTATTACTATTATTTATTGTCAATTAACCCGACAAAATATTGCTGTCACCTTTAATTTTATTCATACGACTTATTTGACTTTTTTATATGATTGTAGTCGGACACAACAACGAATTTTCCTAACGCTGACATAAATGACGTTTTCAATTATCGAATGACACATTTGGGATGTAATCGATGTAAAAGTACACCACTTTAACAAATAACATTGTTTAATTACTTATCCCTGTCATATTTTAGTCACTGTAATAGGATGTTTATAGGCGTATCCCTATACACAATGATGATTTTTTTGATAAATTACTAATAATATATATATAACTGAACAAGATGATCACCGGAAAATTCCCATTTTAATAATACAGAAATAAGGCCGAAGAATATTTCTTCAAGTTCTACAACTAAATATCAAAATTAATCATCCCAAAACTGGCAACGTTTGAGACAAATACATCGATAGAAATTACGGAATCTGAATTTAGAGTTTGTAAAATAAAATTGTTAGTGTCGTTGAGATGACTGATATATAATTTTAACTTGAATAAACTTATATGTTAAACGGAATCGTAAGATTGCTGATTAGAATAAATATGGGTAAGATGGGATGAAAAATAATGAAATAATATCAAGTTAAAATAAATGTTTGGTCAACAATTACGTAATATGCCAGATGATATGAATTGGGTAAGAATTAGTAAGTCAGAGTGAGTGCTAATTTCACTCATCAAAACATTTGCAAGTGTTAAAATCATAATAAAATTTTTGAATAAGTTTAAGCTATGAAAATACCAAGGAGAAATTCGTGTATTCATAACGCAAATTATGTTAACTAACTAGGCCACAAGCTATCCAAGAAAAGAACAGAGGGTTTTCAATTTAAATATCTATCGCTTTAGCCTTTTGAATGATTCGTAGTCTGACCAATTTAGGCAGATAACTATTGACACAATATGTTATTGCTTCAAGTTAGCTGTGTCACTTATTTAACATCTATTGCTATTTACTAATTCTTACCCAACTCATATTAATTTACATATTACCTCATTCTTGACCAAATAGTTGTTTCAACTTCACTATCTGTCACATTCCATCGTACCTATATTTATTACGATCAATAATCTTACAATTTCAAGTTAGGATCATATATCAGTTATATAACACTAACAATATGTTAGTTTCCTAATTCCACACAATCATATAGCCAAATTAATTGTTAGCTCAGGTCAAATTTAAAAATTATCAACTATATATTTATAATTCTCAATACTACCTATTTAATTCTCATCCACTTTCTTATCTCATATTTTGTCTTGATTAATGTAAAATCTTTATTCAAGCTTTATTAATTATTAAATGTGATATGTTGCCTGTATTGATTTAGGAATGATTTTTCTTATTGCTTTCAGACAAAATATAATTTTCCTGTTTTTAGTTATATATATATATTAGGATCAGAAGGGGTTTTGTGGACATCGTAGTAATTTCAATAGTTGAGATCAAGAGATATATATATTGAGATATATATTCACTTTCTAGGAATAAACTTTATCCACTAATAAGTATTTATAATGCATCTATAAAACAGATGCCATCAGTGTGGAGATTCTAGAGATTTTTATTCACTATATTACCAAACACGTGAACGAAAAACGTATTCTAGATACATTCATTTTTTATTCCGATGTTCTATTGTATTACTCGACCAAATAATAGCCATTAACCTAATGATAATTTAACGAAATATTATATTTAGTATATTTAAAACATTAAGAATAATCACAAATGTAATGAGAAAAAATAAAACCAACTCAATGGTTCGTACATGTTTCAAACGGTAAATTTGAGTTCCTGTAAATGATGTTGACAATTTTTTTTTAAACATTCCAGGTTCAAAGAAAATCAAAATGATATTTATGCTACTGAGGGTGACAATCTAATATTTATCTGTCCAAAAAATCGAACATTTTCTCAAAATCTCTATTGGGTATGTATTATACACTTAACAATATGAATATGTATTTGTATAGTGTAATAATATGGTTATTGTTTTCTTGATGTTATAACATAAGTGATAAATATTTTTGTATTTTTAACTTGTTCCATCATATATCTACAAATAAACATTGCTGATTATCACTTGTGCAGAGAAAACTAGTCATAATAAGCCAATAAACATAGTTTGCTTTATATGCCGTTTTCGTATGGTTTGCCGGATAAAATCTACCGGTAAATCTATTCTTAACGATATTGTCTACAAATATGTTGACACATCGGTTACATTATATCTATTGAGTAGTTCTGCTTTATTAGTGAGATAATTAATGTAGACGAGTCTAAAGTTAGTTATATAATATCCAAATATAAAATGAGAATTAATTAGCAACAATTTTATAAGAAGTTTAGTTACTTGTTAATAAAGCTTTCAACTTAATTTCGTTAATTATAAACATTTTAATAACATTCTTTTAATTAAAAAATTGCTTTTCATACTCAATCAAATTATGTTAAAAGGGATATGTCTTATGTAATAAGTGTTGTCTGCATCTGTAACGACAGTTCTCCCATTGACAACTGAAATTTATTCAACTTGTTATTTAATAAAAGACTTTAATATTTTATTATTGATTATCATTAGTTCAGCTAATAATGGATTACGTTTAAAAGAAGCAAAACTTATTTGTTTAACACAATTTGACTCTTAGGATAGTACATATTATTTCGTGTAGGAAGAATAAGGATCAGGACACATGGGCCAACTGTATTACTTATTTTTAATACGTTTTATGTTTATTTGGCACGGAAAAATCCAGACTAATATAATATGAATGTAAATAGTTAGTTTTGTTAGTAAATCGAGAGATGATAAATCAATATAATTGTTAACCATCCAACTGATGTATACAGTGTTGATAATCTTCAGGTTATTATTGAATTTTTACTTGAATATAATTTGGTCCAACAATGTTTATAGATATTTAAAAACTGTTTACTTGATCTGTTCAAGCATTAGTATCCAAGTGTTATTTCTTTATATTTTGCATATTTATTCATATGAATAGACAGATGATCCACGTGTACAATTAAAATGTAATAAAACATTACCTATTAAAGTTATTAAACTTTTGGATTGTTTTGGAAACAAGTCAGTTACAGAATTCGTTCTTAAGGTTAGCCGTTTCCCAGAAATCGCATCACTACCAAGTTTTCATTCAGAAATTCCTGTTTATTTCGTAGGTGAGTATAAAATTTTTAATATGATTTTTAATTCAGTAAACATAATCATTATTAGTACAGTTTGCATTCTTAAATAATGTCGCAGATATTTATGCGAAATGTAGACTATACTCTATAGAAACGCTAGTTTCTATTCGTTTTGTTTTATATCTAAACGCAGGTCTTCATGAGTTATAAAATATAACACAATATCATGGCACAGAACCAATAACTGTACACTAATTCTTAAACTATTTGATTAGGCAATATTTGAAGATTCTTTGAATAAAGTGTTTTCATTTGTGGAAACACTAATGTAATAATATCTATGTTTTTATAAATTCATTTCATTTTCAGAGAGGGATTTTTTGGATATTATAGTGATTTAATACTTGAATTCATGAGTTAATTGAAGCTAGATCACCAGTACTTCCAGCTTTTATATGTTGGTGTAGCTTTAGTTGACTTATCAATTCAACTAATAAATTTATTTCACTTTGATGTTTCGAAACTCATTCGCTTATTTGAATCTTTCATTGTGATAATTATAAATTGTGAAAATGATTTTAAAACTTTAAAAATTGCGAAAATGAACTTAAAATATGAAGAAAACCTCTAAATTATTTATGAAATATCACTGCTAAGACAAATTACATATAAATACAACTAGTCTTCTTATTACTGGTGTTGCACTGTTTATAGCTTGATGTTTGAAGTGAAAAATATCTGGTAAAAACCTCATTTCACATACGAACTCTATATCATTCTTAAATTTTAATTAATCGATTTGTTCACTGATTTGTTTGCATTTTCTTTACCCATCAATTTAATCAGAATCCTCTACACTTTGTTTATCGACTTTTCTACTACACAATAAATGTAGTTTTGTTCTGATAAGATCAAAATATTCATTGTCAACGAACACGTTTATGAACTCTAAATGGTTTACACAACCAGACTAAAAACATAATTAATTGACAAAATGGGACATAATTTTCTATTTAAGGATAAAAATATTTTTTGTTTTTTTAGATATCAGTCTGAAAGCAACAAATTAAGTTTAATTGAATTCCTTTTGAAATATATATAAATCAGTTGGATGGTGGCTAGCAGTGTGATTAAGGACGCACGTTTTATCCTATTTGGGAGTCTCCACCTGTATGTACCTACATGCTGGAGTTGATTTTCACTCAGAGACTCGAATCAAGTGACGTTCACCTTAAACTCGATTGCGTTATCCACTTAGCTAGTGATTTTAGACGGCTATTGGCCTATGAAATGGGGCGGATTTTAAATTATATGTGTGTATTATTTTGAAGTGAATAGTGGCGCGTCTGAGTCCTGGAGTAAATATCATCTCTGAGGTGCAGGTACATTCATCTGGTGAGTCTGAAATAAGATGAAAAGCGTATCATGAACTACACTGCTAGTTATCATCTATATCAACTTGAAAATGCCTGTGACTTAATGACTACATTGATACAATCGGCAGAAGATGTACCTGCATCAAAAGAGACTGACAAATTGCAGTCGTAAATATAATTGGGATGATTTAAACAACCAAAACTTATAAATTATACTCGACTTATAAATTTGATTCTATGTCAAAACATTTGTAGAGTCACACGCTGAAAATAAATATGACTGTTGCTATAAAAACTCATAGGAAAGTGGTGAATCTCAAAAACTTTGATCGAAACAATGTGACTAGTTGACAATTATTTAAATGTTATAGATTCAGAATTAGTGAAAAAATTGATCAGGCGTCCTGACATATTGCGCTTATTATATTTGGAAAAAAGTGTCTAGTCAAAGTTTTGTACACTAAATGTTTTAGAGAACATTAAAAATACTAACAATCAACTAAACAAGCATTCAAATAATTGCTGAGGTTAGATGAAATCGACTGTTATTCTAAAGATTCAATTTCGCTCGACCAGTTGATTACACTGAAAATTTATTACGCTCATAATTTACAAAGTGTGAAGTGACAAGATTTAAAATACAATGCCTCTATAATGCAGCTAATCTATGCATACTATGCAAAAATGAACAATATCCCAATTGCCTTAAAAATGTTATCACTGTATTATACAATAGTAATAAAAAGTTTAGGTGAAATATTAATAGTCGAAAGACCACATACTATGACTAGAATGCAAATGTCGACAACAGTACACACTGTTTATTATTTTATTCAGCTTGTATGAAACAGTAATGTATATAAAACTATTTTAGTTACCCTTTCTACGAAAAGAGAAATATTTGGGTGGTATTTAAAATTTGTTTTGTCTTAGTCTCATCAAACACTAAACTCTTCTCGTTGACATTTTAGCATTACCTCGTATAATGGCTATACTATATCATAACATTTTACTCATCTATGAATATGTTTCGACTGTTATGCATGAATTATCTCTTTTCAGAATTAATGTTTGTAATTTTACAAACCATGATTATAAACTGATTTTCTACTTTTTGTTCAGTCCAGTTCATCGCAATGTCTAAATTATTTTATTTTCTTCTATTGTCCGATTTTTGTTATAAGTTGGATATGTAGACAATGGAGAAGTAGACATACAAAAATCTGTATAACTTGCTAGTCGAAATAAAAGAATATTGTTTTTTTCTGTCAAGTCATTTGAACTTTTGTTACTACTAATGCTATATAATTGCACAGTTGAATATTCTTTTATGAATTATGAGTCTCCATGTTCAACACTGAATATCCCATACGTTTATTTAGAATTCAAAGTGCTACCCGAAGTAAAGAGATTATGGTATTAGTTATGTAGATATTTGTGCTTGTATACGAATAGTTAATAATATTGTTCTAAGTGTATAGGTCACACAAAATGTGGTTAGTACAATTTTTAAGATGAACGATGCTTGCTTCATTGTTGTTTGAAAAAAAAACTTATAGTTTACAGTCATAATTGTCAGGTGAACGCTGTTATGTTTCACAAATACAGTACCAAACTAAAATCAGTTTAACAGGCAGTTTTGTGAAAATTCCTTATATTGACGTCAGCTGAGCAACAAATTATAGCATAAACTTCACACACATACATACATATATATACAGCTATAAAATTCAATTAGAAACCCATGAATAACTATATTTTAAGTGACAGAATAAATTTAGCGAATAGCCTTCGATTTACTCTGGTTATGTAGCCACATATCAGAATGCTATTTTTTATATCAACAAGATTCTGGATTATTTATGTGCCTATCACATTTAAGTATCCAACAAAAGATGACCAATCATCATAAACCTCTTAAAAAAAGACCCAATAGATAAAAACTAAAAAAGTTTAGGTACAATGTAACAATAATGAATGTAAATAAACAATGCATAACCAGACATAACATTTAATAAAAACAGGGTATTATAGTTCATTTTTTTAGAAGAGAGATAATATAAGATTCATCTGCATTTCTTATCATGAATTGACATTTCTTTGGTTCAGATTCCAACTTCTTTTTTAGTTAATAAAATATCTCCAAATATTTATTTTGTAATTTAATAGCTCAGTCTGTGATATGTCAACAGAATAATTTTCGTTTAAGCGTTAAACTAGTGTCTGGTAATAAGACAGATATTACCAATCACATTGTTACTACTGAAGAAATGCAGACAAAGAAACATTCCAGAAAATGTAAGTTGAGTTTAATTACACCATTATAGAATTTAATGGAGTGAAGATTTTGTTACATCTACATTTGATTAGTCCTATTAAACCACAAAATATATCGATTGAACATGTTTTTTGTACTTATAAGCGTTATTTGTAAATTTTTCAATCGACTTTCTATGTTGTATATTTTTAACACGTAAATGTTCAAGTAAAATCTACAATATAAATGTTGCCATTTTATTGTTAATATGTCTTTGACATTCATGAGTACTTACTTACTTACTTACGCCTGTTGCTCCTAATGGAGCATAGGCCGCCGACCAGCATTCGCCAATCCACTCTGTCATGGGCCTTCCTTTCCAGTTGTGTCCAATTTTTGTTCATTTCTCTCATGTCTATCTCTATTTCTTGGCATAGTGTGTTCTTTGGTCTTCCTCTCCTCCTTTGGCCTTAGGGATTCCATATGAGGGCTTGCCTTGTGACGCAGTTGGGTGCTTTCCTCAATGTGTGTCCTATCCACTTCCAGCGCTTCTTCCCGATTTCTTCCTCCGCTGGGATCTGGTTTGTTCTCTCACACAGTACATTGTTGCTAATAGTGTCCGGCCAATTTTTGCGTAGATAACTGTTATTAAACACCTGTATTTTCTGGATGATGGCTTTCGTAGTTCTCCAGGTTTCTGCCCCATACAGTAGAACTGTCTTGATATTTGTATTGAAAATCCTGACTATGGTGTTGGTTGACAGTTGTTTTGAGTTCCAGATGTTCCTCAGTTGTAAATATGCTACTCTTGCTTTGCCGATCCGCGCCTTCACATCTGCATCAGATCCACCATGTTCATCAATGATGCTGCCCAGATATGTAAAGGTTCTTACAACTTCCAAATCTTGTCCGTCAATTGTGATTGGATTGGTGCGTGCTGTGTTGTATCGGGGAATCTTGCTTTTCCCTTTGTGTATATTGAGACCTACTGGTGGTGGTACTGTTGCTACACTGGTCGTCTTCTCCTGCATTTGTTGTTGCGTTTGCGATAGGAGAGCCAGATCATCTGCAAAGTCCAGATCGTCCAACTGCACCCTAGATGTACACTGTATCCTGCGTTTCCCTTCAGATGTCGACGTCTTCATGATCCAGTCGATCACCAGGAGAAAGAGAAAGGGTGAGAGTAAGCAACCTTGCCTAACACCGGTCTTTATCCCGAACGAGTTTTTCAACTGTCCTCCATGCACAATTTTGCAGTGTAATCCATCATAAGAATACCGTATGATATTGAATAACTTCTCAGGTACGCTATAGTGTCGGAAAAGCTTCCATAGTGTTGTTCTGTTTACGCTATCAAATGCTTTCTCGTAGTCAATGAAGTTGATGTAGAGTGATGAATTCCATTCAATAGATTGCTCCACAATGATCCGTAGAGTTGCGATTTGGTCTGTACACGATCTATCCTTACGGAATCCTGCCTGTTGGTCTTGATGTTGGGCGTCTACGCAGTCCTTCATTCTGTTTAACAATACCCTGTTGAAGACTTTTCCCGGTATTGAGAGAAGAGTGATGCCCTTGTAGGTATCACACTTGCTGAGATCGCCTTCCTTTGGTATTTTGATCAGAAGTCCTTCTTACAGTCTCTTGGTACTCGTTCCTCATAATCGTAAATCTTATCGACAGTGATTCATTCCTTGTGATGGTGCTTCTTGTGGCCCAGAACCTCATAACGTGTTGAAGTGATTGCCTCTTTGATCCCCTTCCAGCTGCTCTCCATAGTAGTTTCAAGGAGTTCCATTGAGTGGATCATGAAAGGCCTGGAACTTATTGCTGAGGACTATCTTGAATTTGTTGAGTTTGTTAGTATCCCGAAGAAAGGCCGCATTGAACTATTGTGATATTGTCCGCCTCGTTGTCCAGCGCTTCTTGAGTTTCAATTTCATCTTGGCGACCAGCAAGTGATGATCTGATGCTATATCAGCTCCTCTCTTGGTTCTCACGTCTTCCATCGTCCTCATGAACTTTTTGTTGATGCAGATATAGTCGATTTGGTTTTGCGTGGTGTGGCCCGGTGAAGTCCATGTGATTTTATGTACGCGTTTATGTGGGAATATTGTGCCGCCTATGACCAGTTTATTGAAGGCACATAGGTTTGCAAATCTCTCACCATTTTCGTTCCTTTCTCCCAGTCTGTGTCGTCCCGTGATGTCTCCATATCCGGTGTTGTCCATTCCAACCTTGGCATTGAGATCTCTCAACAGAATGGTCAGGTCCTTTGTTGGGCACTTCCCGACGACTGACTGCAGCCTATTGTAGAATTGGCCTTTGGTGTCTTCATTTTAGTCGTTGGTAGTCGCATAACATTGGATGACGTTCATTGAAATGCCCTCTGTCTTTGTTTTGAAGGAGGCTTTGATGATCCTTGGTCCAAGAGATTCCCATCCTATAAGTGCATTTTGTGCTTGTTTGGACAACATCAATGCAACTCCTTGTGTACGTGTGACATCTTCTTATTTAAGGCCAGAGTATGACAGAAGCTCTCCTGAAGCTGGTCGTTGTTGTCCAACTTTCGTTCAATGTGTTTCACTGATCCCAAGCACCTCTAGGTTGTATCTCCTTATTTCTGCAGAAATTTGGAAGACTCTCCCGGTCTCCCACATTGTACGAGTATTTCGTGTACCTAAATAAATGGTTGCTCCGGTTGTCAGAAGAGGCATCGGCCTCGTAACTTCCGAAGGGACTCGGCTTTCATCATGAGGCGTTATAAATCTTCTAAACGAAGACCTTCTGACTCCCAGGGCAGAGTTTAAATGATTTGAATAATTTTTTCTGGTGAGCGTTTTTTTAGTGAGTTATTTTCCTATGGGGTGGGGTCGCTAACCCCATGCCCATCCTTCATCTTCTATCCGGGCTTAGGACCGGCAGTAGCCTCCGAAGGGAATCCAGGAGGAGTTACTTTGTATACATTTTTCATCTTACTAGAAGCCACGGCGGTTTAAATAGTCTGGAGCCAAATAAAAAATTACTGAAATAGTACATTTTCTAAAGTTGATTTCCCGAATTACCATAATGCAAATATTTAAGCTTTTTAAAATGCCCCTATATAATGAACCACCAAAGTATATTCGCTCATAAAATATTCATTCATATTACGTTACTGTATAAAGTGTACTCATTTGTCATGCTTTATTTAAGGATGATTAAGTAAACTCCATAACTAAATGAGCTATATAATTAATTATTTAAGAGACAGGCTTATAAAATAAAATGAAATCAAACTTAAGGCATAATAAAACACTTGGTGATCTACTATTATCTTATCGATAAATCGGATAGAAAGTAATAAACTTTTCTCAAATTTTTCACAAAAAATTTTGATTTTAATTTTATAGGAATTAAGTTACCATCGTAATTCAATGGTCACGTTTACATTCATTGGCCAAAGAAGGCTTTTGAAAATGCCTCGTGATAGAAGTGTTTATATAACCATTTATTATTTTGTATGAATATTAGAGTTATTGAAAGCACTGAATGATGTTCCACAATAAATACGCCTGTATCGAAAAAACATAACTTTCAGTATGGTGTACATCATAATTTATTGAAAGAGATCATAAAATATACTGGATTGATACTTATTACAAGCTGGCTCTTGTAAGAGAGATATATCACTGATCTTGATAAAACTGGTGACTTTACTGAGATTCGAACCAATGTCACTTTTCATCAAAGTATGAAATAAGACTTATTTCTCCCAAACCATTAAGTGTGACACTTTGACGAGTGATAATTGATAAATAATCACCATATAACAAAACATAATGAATGAGTTGTCGAGCCATCTCGATGAGTAAGCATATTTTCTGTGTTCAATAGAACTAGATGAATGTTTTTTTACGAGTCAGTAACCAATGGAATTTAAACATCTTTTACTGAGTTTCTTTTTTACTAGACTTTTGTACTTTGAATCAGTTTTCTTTTCCTTCTATTATTCATTAGTTGATTTATTCTCAAATACATCCATTTCTCCTCAATTAAAAACAACACAAATTCATTATCCTTTAAATGATTCATCAAATCTATTCTGGAATCAAGAATATAAAGTTTTACTTTTACCAGCTACATTAGCATTTTTTACATTAATCAGTATACAAATTATTTTATGTGGATTATGGTTTTCTAATTCAATTACTCAAAAATTAATGAAGTGCTTTAAAAAACATAAATATAAACATCATAATGTACAATTACAAACAAATGACATTTATAAAAATTATCAAATAGATAAAGATTTAAATAGATCACATTCAATTCAATCAAATGATAAAACAAGTAAATTACCGATTCTTAATTATGAAACAAAATCGAATGTCAATTTATGTTGTCAATCAAAACCTTCATTACTTATAAATAAATATAATTTGAATAATATAGAAAAACAACAAAATTCTATCAATTCTCATTGGTTAATACATTTTAATCAATTTGATAATGATATATCATTTTATAAATTTAATGATCAACAATCTGAACCAAATGTATTCAAATCAAATAAGCCAGAGAAATTATTATTTAATTTTCAAAAGAATTTAATTCATCAAACTATTCCAGATACATCAACTATTCTATGTAATTGTATCAATCAATCAAATAATAATATGAAACTTAGACCAAATCAAGAATTATTAATTCCTGTATCCATTTATTTAAATAAAAATATAATGAAAGATTGAAATTCTTTATTTTTAAAAAATTTAGTTTTTAAAAAGAAAAACAAACGACTTCTCTTTGAAGCATTTCCGAGTGTATTAAGTAGAGAATGATCATTTCACTCCTTTACACATTTATCCATTATTGATCTTTTATAACAAAATTATCCATTTATATAATACTCTGTTTACTAAAACAGAGAAGATAAGATTAAGATTGAAATATTGATTTCAGTTTCTCTCCTACATATTTTTCAAAAAAACAACATTTGGTACTTTTGAAAACAATTTTATTTCTTATTGTATATACTACTTATTTCAGTAGAATCAAAGTGATCTAACAAATAGAATACAATTCATTTCATTCAATGTATTCCTGTAAGAAAAAAAGAATAGACAAATCAATTTATTGATTACCAATGCTTATTTATATGATAGTTTATTATTTGACATGAATGAATATTATGTAAATCAAATCAAAACAAAATAAATGAAACAAATCATATTTCATATTATTATAAATTTCAATTATATTCTCATCTTTCTTTTTAGTTGTTTGTTTGTTTGTTGATATTATTCTCCTATTTGTAATAAGTAGTTGCTAGATTGCAACAAAACAAAAACAAAGAGAAAAACTTGAACTTCTTAACAAATGAATTATTTCTGATTAAATGTCATTTATAATCTGTATAGTATAAAAGTTCATGATAAGTTGAAACGAAAAAATAAAAATAATATTCTCTTTCATGACAATGTAAATGATGTACAGAATGAAAGAAAGAAAAAAAATCTCCATAAGGAGCAAATATAATAATTTGATAATCATTCCAGTTTGATATTGTTTTTATAATTTATGTGAAGGAAGAAAAAATGCTACTAAGTAGAATTATTGATTTTATCAAATTTCTTTTCATTTTTCTTTAGAAAATATTTTAATTGCTTGGAGAAAAATCAATAATTCAATATGATTGATTATTATATGTTTGATTAAATCTATATTTGAACTGTAATATTGATAATATTGTATGACACAACAATAGATAGGAAGAATGTATGTAACATGAGAATTTACAAAGTACTTATATCATACATTATACATAGTCATTAATCTTCTATTTTTCTTTTTTCCGGTGTGTTCCGCCATCTGAATTTTATTCTCGTCTGATCATCAAATGTTCTGCGAATAACATGTTTTCAATCTATTGAAACTGTTCATTCTGTCTGACGTTACATTCGCCTATACAATACTTAGACATAATTTTGTGAGTAAAGTCCACTATGACATGATTACATTATTATTGAAATTTCGGTTGACAAAGAATAATAGCACCTAAAGCAATCAATGACTAAATCTTAATTCATCGTAAGATAAAATTGTAAAATACTTTAAATCAAAAGAAGACAGAAATAATTATATTAAAATGTAGTTAAATGAATTAAAACGTTTGTTGTTTATTATGTTTTCAATTGATAGGTTATTCTCATTTAAACATTAAAACACGAAGTTCAGTGAAATGATCTCTTTTCAACAAATTTATTATCAAGTTGTACAATCGTATATGTATGAAAATCTGTTTTCTTAAAGTACTACTTCCGTGAGGAAATGTGAACAAGGAATAAGCAAGATGATGTAATAGAGTGATTATAATACTAGATTACGTAATAATGACAATACACTTAATAAGTTAGTAACGAATTATAACGTGAATATAGTAAGACAATCAAAATGTTTTTTATTCAATAGGTGAAATCATGAGTCAATTAAAGCTAGACCATTGAAAACATGAAAGCACTGGACGGCTGTTTCGTTCTAGCTTCAACTGACTCGTGAATTCAACTATCAAATTACTATAATATCCGCAAAAGCCCTCTCTGATTAAAATGTTTTGTTACAATAATTAAAGGTCATTAAAGATCATAGAGATGTAAAAAATAAGTAAAGTGATTTCATGAGCAGTTATGAATAAAATAATGAGAATATGAGACATAAATAAAGGGAGAAATGCAGTAATCATAATAATTAGGGCCAAGGTAACGATAACGATAGAACATACTTCTTTTAAACGCATAGCTCTGGCTTGAGCTCATCGATGGTAAGAGCTTCGGCTATATTTAGGAGTTGGATACGAAGAAATCAAAGTAGACTTGGATGAATCGGATATAAAACCTTGAAATCAAACTGTTGGTTATTTCAAGTATGGAACTCCCAACTGCTTTCCTTAATAAGTGTATTATTATTATTCATATTGCGTAGTCTAGTATTATAATCATCCTATTACATCATCTTGGTTATTCCTTGTTCACGTTTCCTCACGGAACTAGTACTTTAACACAAAGGTTTTCATATATATATATCATTGGAAAACTTGATAATAAATCCGTTGAAAAGAGTTCATTTCACTTCACTTCGTGTTTTTAATATTATGTTTTCATTTCGATTAAATTCATGTCTCAAGTCAAACATTAAGTTTAAAATGAATAAAGCGTCATTTTAAATGTATAAGTTTGTATGGTCACATATTACTCGCTTAGACTGTGCATCCTTTTATTTGACCACTTTTAAAGATAGGTGACACGTATTACAGTACTATTTGTTATTAGATATTTATTCATATACTTAAACAGCTTTAACAGTGCACGCATATCCATATGCACATATATGTAAATACTCATATATATTTGTCGATTTTACTTCACTAGATAAGTTTACTATTTTATACAACACATAAATATAAGGTTACTCATTTCACAAAATACGTTCGCTTTTAATTCCACTCAATCATTCATGAACTAATCAACTCACTCTTCCTATACGTTTGGTTTCATTTTAAGATTATCACGTTTAAAATATTGTCGTCCTCTACTACTTCGTGTCATGAATGCTTTGCTAATACAGTGGTACCAATCGTAATGAATGTAAAACGTAATGAATCTCCAAAAACAGAGTGATAACTTCTAGCAGTTTCAGTCTCAAAGCGAATAACTGATGAACCAAGGTTCAAAATATAGTTACCAAATAGCTGAAATTTATCATTTCGTGTGATATAAAATGTAGTCAGCTTTTTCCAAAATATTTATTTAATTAATATTTTCCAAATGCATTCGACAAATTATTTTTTAAAATTTTGTTTTAACAAATGCTTTCGGGTAGTTTGTACTATTGGAAAAGGCTTTTAACCAGGATTGTAATTAGCACAGAAATCAAAAATCAAGTAAACGTGGTCAACTTTTTCATTTCAGTACATAACTCATTAAAAGTCCATACAAATAAACATAAGTGGGGTCAAGCCTAGGGATGATACAATAGATGAATTTTTGTAAACCATCTATTTAGCTATAAAAGGTATAGCTGCCTATAACTTACTCCCCAGATGAACTATTATGATAGCCAGATGCAAAGTTGGCAAACAAAAAATAACACAACTGCATTTACAAAAAAGTTTGACAACGTTCGAATTTAACAGTGAAAATATATCATCCTCTCAGCTTAAATTGAATATCATTGGTTCCGTATCGCGTCTCATCGTTGATGCATTATGGTGGAATGCCTTAAAATTGGACAAAGCAATCGTTTAAATATTCTTAATAATCCTAAAAAATTTTAAATAACATTTTGTAAGAAAGTGTTATTTTTTGTTTGTCTTGGCGATATACTAAGGTCACTACTTCACATTTTATATAGTGCAAATTGTGAACCATAGAAATAAATACAAATGATCTCAATTGATTCCAAAGTATTAGCTACAACATTTAATGTTATAGTAGTGTATGCTACTTATGTCTGTCGACATAAGTAGTATGTAAGACCAATCGGAAGCTCAAAACCTGGTAGCAGATGATTAACAAAATCGAGTTAAAGAGAATGGAAAGGAAAATAAAAATGAATTATGAAATGGAAGAATCATACAGAATGTAAAGAACAAATGATGGAAATATGCAAATGAAGTACTTAAAGTATAATTCTCATATTTTACAAAAATATTCTGTAATTTTGTATTAAACTACATTACTTGTCCCTGCCTGTTTTCTCGTTCACTAGAATATTACTATTAATTAGTCATAGAATCAAAGTAAATTTTTCCAAATGGAAAATATTCGTATCAAATTTATAAATAAGTGGATTGCTCATGAATTAAATGGATTTTTCTTAAGTTTTATACATTTAGTACGTATTATGTCCCGATAAGAATAATGAATGGCAACTTTTAGGATCCATTTATGGACCGATACTATACGTACATTTTTATTGAATAAATGTTAAATAACTAAACTCTACGTATTCATGTCTCTCTTATTATGACCCTTATCTCGACCTATGAACTATTATTAACCGATTCACCATTCCTGAGTTATGTCCAGTCTATTAATTACAGTCTCCCACATTCACAGCCACATTTGGCCAAATCTTGTACAAATGTTGTTTCCTGTTTTATGGTACTATGTGATCTGTTTAAATGGTATATAAACTCCGTATGTTTGAAATAAATGGCTCATCTTGCAGAGGCTGAGAACGGTGTTCTGGACTTAACTAGCTGAGCTAAGCAGGAAGCGGGACCAATAAGGACTCTTGACTGCTCGTATGTGTTTTATGCATGATTGGTCCGAACGATAGTTCACTGCTCTCTAATTGGCGGTATCATTACATACACATTAACAGGGCACACCGGCCATAAGTTATAACGATGCCCTCCAATCTTCATTATCCAATTCAAAGTATGGATAACATTAAATGATTCATTTTGTTATATATTCTAGATTTTATCTTCAATAAGATCATTAATATTTAAACATTATTAACTCTCCAAATATATTTATTATTCAACTTTTTTTTTCATTAAAATATTTTCTAGAAAGAATCACTACATTCACAATTCAGATTAATTCAATGTTCGACATGAAGAGATTGCAATAAATTGATATACCATAATGTTATTTATTACTAATTCTCTATACATTTCTACATTTTTCTGTTTATAACAAATCACTTACAGAGTTAATGAATGTGATTATGATTGAAAATAAATAGTTTATACTTAATTTTTTAGTTTATAGTTAATTTTATTTGAATAGAACTATAAATTGATCAGATGAAGCAAGAACAATAAGGTTTGGAAAATAAAATGAATTGATTCTACTTCATGACTATTCATCGGCTGCAAAAACAGCCTAAAATTACGACTATTGATATACGGATAGAGACAGTTATCCACTTCAGACAATGGATGAAGGATTGTGCAAGATCATGGATCGATTAAAGTTTAACAATAACACTGTTGGATGCCGACTCATTTGTCCAAAAGTTAAGCGTCTGTGCAAGACCGAAGGTCCTGGGTTCGAATTCCACATGCTAGATCGTGGACATGCACTGTTGAGGAGTCTCATACCAGGACGAAATGGCCTTCAAGTTCTTCCAGGTTATCAATGGTGGTCTAGCTTAGATCGATTCATGAATTACTACATTCACCATAAATCCCCATTCTGATAAAAATCATTTTTCTTTAAAATCAAAAATAGCTATTTAATGTGATTGACCATGATGGATAATCGATAATTATTTAATGATATAGTTTTGGATTAGTCAATCTTAAGAAAAAAATGATTAGCAACATAGGAAATGTCATTTCACGGGAATTGTTCACAATTATATGTTTATCAGAGTATTGAATTCACAGATTAATTACAAGGATAAATTTTATATAGTGAGAAAAGAAATTCTGAGGACTATAAATGTTTTTATAAAAACATTTCATTCTGTGATAATAAAATGAATAGGCTTCTAAAAATTTATAAACGGAAAATAGCTTGCATAAAGGTTAAAATAATTTCAATGTAGACATTTCATTACAAACCAAAATTTATGTCGTAGATATGACAAACGTGATTGTCTAGTTACCTCAACTAGTGCTATATATTAGGTTGTTTAACAACGTTGATAAGATAAACGTGACATCTATTACTATTGATCGACCAACCAGTGAATATATATCGTTAGCTTCTATCTTAAAGTTTATTTAGAGTATAATTAACATTCAGAAAGGATAGATTTTAATCATTGAGATCCAGAAGGTACCAACTAGCTGTTGCAACATAGTTCTGAATCTCCCACGTAGTATTCAGATACAACCTTACTCGTAACTAAGTCCAGGCTTTTAATTACTGCAAGGGATATGATGTACATGTACCAATAATAAGCAAACTAAAAGTGTATATTTCTAACTACAAGTGCATCACAGTATTGCTCATGGACGGTAAGAGTGGAGGATATTCGTAGGTTACTAGTATTTGATCATAGGTGGCTTCGAAACATTGCTCGTATATCCTGGGACCATCGAGTAAGTAACACAGTTGTTAGAAAACGGGTACTAGGTAAGGATGGCAAATCAATTGATGACGTAGTGAAACTTCATCAGTTGAGATGGCTGGGACACGTGTTACGTATACCCAACCACCGACTGCCTCGATGTGCGATATTCAGTGGTATAGGAGTAGGTTGGAAGAAAGCTAGGGGCGGCCAGACCAAAACATGGCACAAGTCCATGAAGTTACTGACAAGTGAACTGAGTCATATTGGTAGGTGTAGACTACCTGGTTGGGGACCGCGAGATGATAGCAACCGACGGTTAGAGACCCTGAATGACATGGCTCAAAATCATTTGCAATGACACAGGTGCATCCACTCTTTGTGTTCTCCCAAATTCTAATCCTCTGAATTCTTCATGTCCCTTTCTTTTTTCTCTTTCCAAATTTATTTCACTGGATTATACTCCTTGAATAGCATCTTCAAACCCTAATTTTTCTGATTACAGCTTATAATTTTAGTACATCTAGCACTAGGGGATTTGAATCGACCACTGCATCTCTGTGCTAATGTGGTGTGGCAACTCGAACTGATATACGTACGTACGAAGTTCTACGTTGTTACTGACTGACTGAGTATTGCTCAGCGAACTTTCACGGTATGTTTATAGTTAAGATTGTTGAGTCTTTCAGTTATTGTTTAAGTTTTACACTTCAGTAATTCTGTTCATTATCGCAGACATAATTGATTACTAGATCTGATTTTCTATTTTGCAAAAGATATGTTTCATAAATAAACCAATACTGTTTAAGCTAATCATCAATTTTAAATTATAACAGGGTTAAAACTGACTCATATTTAATTTATCATAGGCTGGTATTCATTTATGTAAGTAAATAATAACGAATGGAATAATTCTACAATAGTAAACAAAAGAATTCTTGAAATACTTTAAAAATATATTCTTATTCTAAATTGAACTGTCGAAGCACACTAATCATTACAGATCTACATTAGTCAGATATTTATTTTCGAATTACTTTGCACAAAAGCGTACAATTCTACGAATTGAGATAATTCATTGATGACTGCATACACATGATTATAATCAAAGTTATGCTATAAGTCTATCAAATCATAACAAATAAATGACCGTTTGAACATTTGTGAGGTTCAGCATCATTCGCAAATGAAGTAAAATATTAGGACATATCTACTAAGTTTTAATATCTACAATACTGGCTCCATTTAATACAAATAGGTAAATAAATTTCCTACTTCAATTTATATTTTAGATAAATGATAATATTAATTTATTGATCAATAAGCAATTCATAGGTAACCAAGTGACTTTCAAAAAACTGTTATTACGTAATATATTCTACACATTTTAAATGTTGTTTTTTGATATGATAACAATCATTTGTTACATGTACACACTTAAACAGCTTCTGATGAACTATCTATTAATAGAATAATTTTAAAATGAAAAATATAGTTATTCTAATTAACAATAAGGGTGTTTCTTTCAAAGAGAGTATCTATCTGAACGTTTTTATGGGATGCATATGGTTAAAATTTATGCTCTTAAAATTATATCTTAGAAAGCATTAATCTACATTATTTTCCTAACACATATTATGATAAGGCAGATTCTGTATATAATATATATTCTACAAGTAAAAGTATGGGGAAAGAACTAAAGTATTTGTATACAGAAAAATGAAAATTAATTTTGAAGAAGATTGTATATTTTAGTTTTAAGGAAGATATGGACATGAAAATAAATGGAAGAATGTAGTAAATATACTTGCTCCCGATATGTTTTTATGCCATTGTCTTGTATCACAATATAGATTTCTTGTGTATAGAAATACGGATGATTATATTATATGTAGTGATTTGCATTATTATTATTATTATTATTATTATTATTATGAACTGACTATTTAGTTGATGTCATCTATTTTATAAAAAAAATATTGAAGGTTCGTTTATCATAACTTCACCTAACTGTTAATTCATGAACAGCACAATCAAATTTATCATAAATGAACATTAAAAATAATGACAAATAATCCCGAAGCAGATGGCCAGGCGAAACGTTGAATTTAATTCAAATTCTACAGCAAGTCTATAATTCATGGATGAACCAATCAAGTATATGATAACAGGTCTTGGATTTTGGCCCAAAATTCATTCATCCATTTGGTTAAATAAAGTTTTGGCATTATAGCTGATATCAGTTGGTGATGAAAACCGTAAATCTAATTCCTAACCCTAATCATCAACTGTGTATTATAATCATAATTCCTCACACTTATTTATAACCCTTATTTAACCATAGTATGTAGGTGAATATTCTCATGGTCTTTGTTGTATCGCTCAAAGGTCATCTATAAATTATAGTTTCACCGATTTTACAAAAATGTTCTTCGTCCTTAGGTCACCATAAGTGTTGATAAATGATATTACAATCCATAAAAACTGATAGAAGTTTTTTTTCATTCCATATCATAATTAATGAATTTTATGAAAAATTGGTACAACTAATATATCAATATCATCGGGAAAAAAGAATAAGATGAATTGATTGTTTCACCTCATACAATGAAAACAACCACAAAAAACAACAACAGAATTCATCTTAACTTTATTACTTTTCTAATTTTATCGTTAACATTTTTTCATATTTTCTTCGTAAATGGTACAATTTGTTAATAATGATTTATAGTGTAAACAATTTCTTTTTTTAAAAAAAGGCAAGTTCCGTACCTATGAAATCTAAGAAGACTTTGTGTTTATTTCTTACAAAACAAAAAAAAGAAACATTACAAAATGAAAATGAATCTTTTTTTGTTTGTCTAAAATAAAAGAGAAAAAGGAAAAGAAGTCGGTTGAAGAGAATAAAAAATCAAAAAGAAATCCATCGTTTCATTTGCTGAACTAAACAATAAAGTCAGTTACCTAAATCATTATTTGATATTAACATATAAAAGTTGAACTGATTTTCATATTCATAATCTTAGATCATTTTCAGATTTATGATTGTACAATTTTGAAAGTGAACTTGTTTAAAATGATCTAACTAACTTGTCTATTGTTATTTGATTGAGATTATAATGCAAATATGAAATGTCATCAACATACATTTGGATAAGTTCATATATGAATGAATGTTCATTATTATATTACAATGGTGAAACAGTTAACTTTATTTTACTAAGAGTCAATATAAACATTTTATCCTTTACTATAGACCAAAATGAAATGCTTTAAGAATATGAACATTCTCTGTTATAAACAGATTTAGTTTTTTATATTATTCATATGCAAATTTTATTTTTGAAAATGTTTTGAAACTATTTAGCATAAATGATGTCTCTTAAATATTCATTTATACATATGAATGAATATTTAATATAAAATTCCAATATTCATTGAAAACAAAAAATCAGTAGCAGAAAATTATTATCAGAAGGGGTTTTTGTGAATATTTTAGTAATTTTAATAGTTGAGATCATGTGTCAGTTGAAGTCAGATTATCATGAAAAACTTGCGTTTGAATCTTCCCAGGCGAGATCATGGATGAGCATTGCTGAGGAGTCCTACAATGGGAAGAAACGTCCTTCCAGTGCTTCCAAGTTTTCCATGATGGTCTGGCTTCAATTGACTCATGATCTCAAATAACAAAATTATTCAACATATGCTCACTACTGACGGTCTCCATGAGGTACTT